TCCGAGGGTACATAGGTGAGTTGCTACGGGTGCCATGCATTTTGTAAATCAAATCAATTTATTTTCATTGTAAGTATATACATAGTATACCCGTACAACGAAATTCACACAGACACCCAGAGACCAGACCCACATGCACACACATTAAAAATCCCCAAACACTCCCCACCCACTAAAAATCCCCCACTAAGAATACAATTATCTCTACCCCAGGTCAAGTAACACTGTCCAACTATTCACTACTGGTGGTCTTTAAAGCTCATTATTAAGTGCAATTATACCTCTGGGATAAAAACTATTCAGAAAATGTGTGGCCCGACTCTTAATTGTTCTGTATCTTCTGCCAGATGGCAACAGTTCAAAGAAGTTGTAAGCAGGATGGGAAGAGTCTCTCAGGATGTTGTGTGACTTCCTTAGACATACTCTTGGTGCTGTACACAGGCCGAATGGGAGGGCTTTGAATTCGTAGGCATGACCTCCTACTGCGAACATGAGGAATTTATGGTGGTCTTGTCAAATGGTGATGTGGAAATATGCGTTGCTTAAGTCTATTGCAGCAAACCAATCTCCTTGTTGGAGAATGGGTAGGATCTGTTTTAGTGTGACCATACAAAATCTTCTCTGAATCATGTAATAATTGAGGTCTCAAAGGTCGAGAACAGGTCTCAGTCTGCCATCTCTTTTTGGAACTGTGAAATAATGGGAAAAGAAACCTGGGTGGTGTTCTGTGGTGGTAACCGGTGTTATAGCATCCTTTGAGAGGAGGGATTGTATTTCTTGTTGGAGGGCAGGAGATGGACGTGTTGGAACGGTCCTTGATGGAGGTAGGTAAGCAAACTATGGCATGACCGATTATGGTGAGTACCCAAGAATTGGTTGTAATGGAAGACCAGGTTGGAGATGTGCTGCTAAATGGGTAAGTGTTGTTGAAAGATGAGCGGTGCGGATCTGGGGAGCAAGGAAGTCAAATGCCCTGTTTTTGCTTCTTTTCTGGGCGGCGGAAGAATTGTTTAGGGCTCTGACGCTGCACTGCATGTCGAGGTTGAAAAGTTGAAGTTGATTGAGATGTGTAGCTGTTTTTGTCAAAGTAAGATCTGGATTGTTGATGTTATTATTATTATTTATTAGATTTATACCCCGCCTATCTGGTCCGAATTGAGGGTGTTGTCGATAATATGGTTGAATATTGTATGATCGAGCTGTCTTTTTAAATTTCTGTAGGTTTTCCAGGATTTCGTCTGTTTTCTAATCAAACAGGCCTGAACCATCGGAAGGTAAGTCTTCTATCCTCATCCTAACATCATCTGAGATATGGGCAGATCGTAGCCATGCATATCTACGGAGAGCCACTGCTGTTGCTATATGTCTTGAGGAGGTGTCAATAATGTGTCTCGCTGTAATCCTCTCTTGGCATGCAAGAGCCACTGCCTCCTGATGAAAGGCAAGGCTGCGAGTTTTATATTCGCCAGTAGCAGACTGGATTGATGGGAGGGCCTTGTTCCACAGATAACAGTGGTAGGCTCCCACAGCTGCGATGTAATTGGTGGCACACAGAGTGAATGACGCTAGAGAGTAGATGCAACGTCCCACAATGTCCAACTTTCTGCCTTCTTTGTTATTTGGTGTTGCAGTAGAGTGCTTACATGTTTTGTTTCGAGTTGCAACAACGATAAGTGTATCCGGAGGTGGATGTTTAAAGAGAAAAGCAGTGTTGTCCCCATGTGTCTTGTAAAGGTTTTCTACCTTACGAGACATGTGTGGTACGGAGGAAGGCTTGGACCAGGTTTGCTTAGTCAGTTCCAACAGAGAAGGGATGGAGCTCATGCTTAAGGGCAATATTTGTTGTCCATTGATATCATAAACTTTGTCTGAATGGGTTTGAGATGGCTTTTGAACATGAAGTTCCATTGCTTTGGTGATTCTTAAGATTAGCTGTGAATATGGTGAGAAATCATTGGAAGGAGGAGGATTATTGGTGTTGATATCATCATCTGGTCTTGGAAGATTAGGTGGAGATTCCTGGTCCGGTATGGAGTGGGAGGAAGTGGCAGAGAATGAATGAGAAGAGGGTGATGGAGAGGTTGGGCAGAATTGTGGGATAGTAGATGTTGGTTCCTGGAGATAGTGTTGAGAACGAGAGGAGGAATGTTGTGGTGGTACTGTGGTGATCTGAAATTTGGAAGTTTTCTTCTGGGTATGTTTGGTACCAGAAGTTTGAGGTGGAGGACCGGTGTAGGTCATGGTTGTAAGCAGCCCCTTATCTCCAAGAAGATTTATGGGGGTGCCGGAAACTGGGATGAGTACGAAATCCAGACAAACCTCTAACTGCTGAGCAGGGCCACTTAGATCTCAGCCAGGTCCTGTCTAAATTTCTTCCTCAAAAAGCCAATCTCCTTATTAAGAAAGCAACACACACAGACACATCCTTGAGTTATACTCAGAATAATCTGGCTCTAAATCTTCGGTAGCGAATACACCTGGCCAATTAGACATACAACCAGTCTGTGCAAGAACTAATACATGCAGATTTATTCATTACTGCTTTATTGAAAAGAATTGCTTAGAAAAGAATTCAGCTGATAGTAATATAGTTTAGTAGGTACATTTTCATTCAAGACCAACGGAACACTCCACTCCCCCCACTCCAGCTGGAAAAATAAAGAAATGAAACTATGCTAACTAATATAAAGGGTAACATAGTCCATCTCACGTGTCTTGAGTCTTCATAGGCTGATGCTAGATGAAAACCAGTTGACTTCCATCAGTCCAAGGTAGGAAAAATAGTCCATTATGGGAAAAGCACGTGTCTGCCCTTTCTCAGACCAACTCCATCTTTTTCCAACTCCTCACTAACTTCCTTCTTCTTCCCAGAATGCTTCATAAGGAACACCTCCTCCTGGGTCTTGTTGTTCCGCCTAACTTTCTCATGGAGCTTCAGTTGTTATCATACTTTGTGGCAGAATTATTTTGACTACGAAAGTCTCTGCTCTCTACTCAGCTTAGCAACGAGATAACCAGAGAGCGAAGCTTCTCTGAAACAGCATGTAAAACGTTCCTACTACAGCACAGACTTTAAATCAAAATGGATGCTATTGGGACAATCTTAGGACTACATATCCCAATCTAATACACATAAAAACACAAATCATCACAATGGTTGCTTGTACAGATGGTTGTTGAGCCATGGTAGATGTTCAAGCCATTTTCAGTATTGTAGGCTGAATATGGGGCATATCAGAGTGCTGTCTCTTCGATCTATGCTTCGGTATCTGGGTGGATGATACCAATCACTCCTCCGATGATGACCGGGATGGATGGGTAGGTCTGGAGGTATTGAGATCAGTACCTTGGTAACAGAGAAGAATCGGAGCAATCCAAATCGTAGTAATATCGTCGTCAGTATGGACGATTAGAGTAGAAATTGAGCTCGGACAGATAGTACTGATATGCTTGATATCTAGAGCTTCTATCGGCAGGGTCATAGTATTCTGGAGACTCATAGAGTCTGACCTGTTGTCTGTATCGTCTTGATCGCTCTCGAGATGTGAAAGACCCGGTAGGGGTGGCGGGTCTCACAGTATCGGCACCAGGATTGTGAGAATGTGATGTATGGTGTTTTTTCCTCGACCTCTTATGGGGAGGAGAACCGTCGGGTGCCTGAGAATGATGGTCGGATTCAGCAACCGAGATGGAATGCCCTGTGGATAAAGCGCTAGAGTGTGGTGAGGTTGGAATGATGGTAACCTCTGCAGTATCAATAGGAGACAGTGGAGACTGAGCTAAGATAGGAGACTCAGGTTGACCGGATGGAGATCATCTGAAGAATCCATCCTCATGGTGGGCTGCTCCTGAAGTGGGAGTTGCTGTGATACCGGCTTACCTGGATGGAGGTCGGTAGCATTTTTGTGCTTTTTTGAATTCGATGGATCCGATATTGAAGGGGACTTCGGTTTTGGGGTCGACTTGGCCGAACTGAGTTGTTTGGACTTTGATTTCAGAGAGGTTTTAGAAGTTGATCTTGTGGATGGAGAAACAGTGGATGGGACCGGTGATTGTCTTTGAGGCTGTGAGGCAGGAGGAGACTCCATTGTTTGAATGGGTTGAAATGATTGTTTTCAAAAGAAAAGATCGGAGTCTGTTGACACAATTTGAGGGCTTGCTTTGTAAAGTTTTTACAGATTTGGCAAGATGAGGTTTGATGGGATTCCCCCAAACAGAAGAAGCAGATGCTATGGCTGTCTGTGAGGGGAATTTTATTTAGGCACGATGTGCACTTTTTGAAGGGGGGAAGGGGAAGGGGGGGAAATGGTCCAAATAATCAAAGTATCTCACAATTTCCTGATCTAAGAAGTTAGCAGATTTTGTAGACTGAAATGATTTCTTTATTCTTTTTAGAAGCAAAACGACGAACGCAGCAGCTTGACAGAGGAGAAACCTCATGCGGCGGCGGCAAAAAGGAACTGAGGTGATTGTGAGGGTGGGCAGACCTCGTGGGCTGGGGGGCATAGCATAAAGCTCTAGAATATTCCGGAGACCTCTGCGCAGGTGCAAATTAAACCCATTAGTGTGCATTCACAGAGACCATGACGAAGAATCATACTTTCCTTCTCAAAATGTTTATTTATGAACAAATTTAGTCTTGGGAGGTAGCTATATATATGTGGAGGCTGAAATAAAAATTGGTTGAAAAGAAAATTTGTTTATTCTTCCTTGGACAACATCTCCAACTGATAATATTCAAGTTTGAATTTCTAACTGCCATAGATAAAACTTTACCATTAAAACATAAATCTAAATTGTACAGTGGATATATATTGTACATGTGCAGTGCAATCTTATGCCTATTTATTGTCAGTAAGCCCCACTGAATCCAATTGTGTTTAACCAACTTAGCTAAGGGAGAACAAAAAGTCTTTGACGTGTCACCAACTAGTAAGGAAAAAGAAATGTAGGTGCAACATGAACAGACTCTGTATCCATGTGATCTTTGTACATCTTACCTAGCATAAGAATTCCTAGTCTCTGCTGAATGGTCTCCAAACGGGCAACGTAGTCAGTTAATGACTGCTCAGGATCTTTAGATGAAACTTGAAAAGCAGAGCTAGTGGATCTGTAAGACATTTTCAAGATTGCACTGTCCTTTTAAAAAAATCCAGTATGCAGAATAGTCAGAATGAAATACACAGATATACAGTAAATGTAAAAGAAAAACTGTGATCTTAAAATAAATCCATTGTTGAACATAAAAAATGAAAATAGTGTATGGTACCATATATGAGAAGTAAAGAAATTTTACTTTTAAATTCTGGCTCTTAAAAATATATTATTCTGCATTGATTACAGTAGAACTTGCAAGAAAAAGCTTCAAAGTACAGTTGTGTATAAGACACAAACACCTAAGAACATCTTTTTCCCAGTGCAGGAGACTAAAAATATTCCTTGCAGTAGGCAAGAAAGGAACTAAATGTTTCATAGCAAAAGCACTAATCACTATGCAAAATAAAACACAGTAGCTGCTCAAGCTGCAAGCATTATTTGTAGGCATTTCTGAAAGAACATTAATATTGTATATAAAGCAATAAAAAGAGTGAAGAGTGACCATGATTGCAAGGTATCTGAAATCCAACTCCTAAAAATCATAAAAATCATATCTAGGCATGTTTAGCCTAGAGGATTAAAGGGAGAGATGTTAGCAGATTTCAAATATTTCAACAGCTGTCTGTCATACATGCAGAAGAGGAAGCAGAATTGTTTTCTGTTGCCCCAGAGGGGGGATTATACCGAATAGGCGTGACATGCATAGCGACAGATTTTACCTCAGTATTATGAGAAATTTCCTAATGTAAGAGCAGTTTAGACATAACTGCTGCAAATAATACTGGTTGCCTTTAAGCAGAGGCTAGTCAGTGATCTGGCAAGGATGCTGTTGTTGCACCTTGGATTGAGCAAGAAATTGAGCTAGATGTTCTTTAAATACTTTCTAACTCTATGATTCCAAAACCTGTTCATTTAGTACACATCAAAAACAGTCACCTAGTTAAATAAATTGGTAGGCTGATGTTTTCTTCTTTTATCCACACTGTATAATATTCATCACTGTAGCAAGAATCTGATGCAAATAACAATGAATTGAATATATAAAAGTATCAAGTTGATCAAACTTTTATAACAATGGAATTGTTAGGTTGAACTATGACCAAAGGCAGAAACTTACACAAAAGTAAGAACACCACACAACCAGATATTTTTCAGCAATAGCTTGCAATACTCAATACTGTCCAAAGCCAAAAACACACATGTATAACCAATGCTGTGCCTTTCAAAAATTTCTACCCTATACATCAGGGGTCCCGAACCTTTTTAACCCCGCGGACTGGCTGGGGAAGGTGGGGCAGCCCCCGTGCTCCTGTGTATGTGTGCTCATTCGAAGGAGCGGGAGGGTGATCATGCAAGCAGTCATGCACATGCGTAAATGGCAGTGCAGCACTCGAGTGAACGCTCGCTCGTGCGGAGGGGGGTTGGGAGGTCTGTCTCTGCGGCCTGGTCCAGCTCAGGCCATGGACCGGCACTGGGCCATGGACCGGAGGTTGGGAACCTCTGCTATTCATGGATAGAAAAATTACGGGTGAATTCCCCAAGGGGAAGCAGAGATTTTGTTGCAATTTCTCAGTTGATCCTTAACATCAGCACTGATTGCAACATAACTAACTCCCCAACCCCGCATGGTTTTTTGCACTGAAAGTAACAGCAAAAGTCACTATATGGGCAGCCTTGCCACTGTTATGCTTTCTTCACAATACCCACTGGCATGCATCATTCTGGGGTTGGCAGCGCTGATAGAAGGCAGCAACAACCAACCAACCTGTACTCCCCCTAAAGAAAAAAACAGTGGGTGTGTGTTGCAAGTAATTCTGCAAAGTGGGTTTCTATTCTAGCTCAGGTATTAATAGAAACATCTCAGAACATTTTCTCAGGAAATTTGTTATGAGAAATTATTGAGAGTCTATTGTAGATATATTACAGTGCAGGTCTTTCTTGTAAACCCTGTAGTAGTCATAAGAGAGGACAGTGCTGTAGCCAGTTCAAGGAAGAAGGTGTGCCAAAATTTGCTCTCCAATTTTTCTACAGGTTTTCTTCCCTAATGAAAGAGGTTTCAAAATTTGTCTCACTTTCTGGGCACTTTCTGAATTTCTGTTGGTGCAATTAGTGAGCTAACTGTAATACTGCCACATTTTTGTTTTGATTTCCCTACTACATATCTCTTAATTGCTCTGCAGATTCTTTGCCTCCTCATACTGCTTGATTTGAAAAAAAGAGCATACTGCATTTACCTTATGAGATCTCCTGGGAAAATGTGAGAAGCTGAACGTTGTCCACTGCCATAAAGACAGTGAAAAATAACACACACACACACAGCAATGTTATATCTGAAAAATGATTACACTTTTAACAAAAGCGCACAGCATACTGCATTATCTGATGACACTTAGTAATGCACTATTCTCAATCAGAAGGAGCAATCAGTTAGGAAAAATAACTCTGTGGAAGACACATAAATGAAAGGATGACGCTAACCTGTCATGGAAGAAATGTGATGATTGAGGTGAGCAGTTTGTAAGTCCCATGAAGCCATTTATATTGCAGCATCCAGCTTCTTGACTAGCATCAATTGGTAAAGGCTGTTTTAGAGCTTCTACTCTCGTTCTGAGATCTGAATTGAACAACATGCAATGTTTCATTCATAACTGAATACTCTGTAAGAGACTCAGGATAGCAAACATTTGCAGAACAGAAAAAACACGAACTATGGTAAATTAAGCCAGTATTATTGTAATAATGTACACAGGATTAGAACAGAAAAAGCAGCATAGCCTAAAGCAGAATTTTTAAATACATAAACCATGCCATCAATACTGCAAAAGTAAATAGCCATTTTAATGTTACACTGCCAGCAGTTGAGAAATAAATTATTTCTTCTTTGAAATCCACATTAGTGGCATTCTCCTCTTGTCTTAACAGTGGAACACATACTTTTAGAACTTATACCGAGGATAACTTCACTGTTTACAGCTAGAAATGGGATATTCGTATTCATCTTCTAGGGGAGACAAATGCGAATATCGCCACCACAGGTGACTGGGATAACTGGACCCTCTCCCCAGAACCAGGCTGTCCACTTATCGCTGACCAGGCAGCGGATTGTTGTTTGTGCTGCACCATTCACGGAAGTAGCCTGGCCGGGGCTTCCTCACCTGCTAACCAATCCAGCGAGGAGTCGGGATGATGAGTCTCTCTGCTCAGCTGCTGAATAGTCAGCAATGCAGGGAGGCGAAGAAGCCCTGGCTGAGGGACTTCTGTGACTAGCGTAGCACGAATGATTGTTATGAGTGACAGAGTGTGTGTGGGTTCCAGAAAGACCAGCACCTCAGGCCTAAAAAGAAGATGGAGACTTGCAAGGGGGAAGATGGGACAGTGAGCCTGGTACAAATCTGCAAAGAGTTGCAAGAGATAAAGTTCCTATATCATCAAGAAATTGCATGCGTGGGCGGAAGTTCTGAACTTGGACTTCTTTGTCCAGATAAGAAAGGGGAAGCAGGCTGGCTGCAAACAGGTCTATGGTGAAAGAAGCAAACCGTAGACATGCAGGAAACATTCCTGCATGGAAACAACAGACTGTACCTGCCCAGGAAACTGGGGTCTGCCCATAGGCACAACCCATAAGAAGGATGCTTACAAGAAGGATGACCCAGGAGGAGACTCTGGGCATCGAACAGCGCTGCAACATTGCTCCCATTGCATTTACCAAAGGACTGATCAACCACCAGGGAAGAGTCTGACTGTGTGTGTGAGCATTGTGTGCATGTGAAATGTGAGAGAGGCCTCTTGATACCTTTGTTTTATGTTTTAAATCAGGGGTGTCCAACCTTTCACCTTCCCTGGGCCACATTAGAAGATGAAAATTAGGTTTGGGCCGCATATAAATTTGGTTTGGGCCGCATGGGGGGGCAGCCCTAGCCGTCCTCCACAGCCCCTCTCCAAATGCGCTTACCGGCAGCTGCGATCTCAGACAGCAGAGGCTGCCAGCTTCAACTCCGGCAGCATTATGGGGCCGGGCAGGGGTCCACCTATTGACAGGGAGGGCACAATGCAGTCACACAGCTCCCCTCCCCTCCCGTTCCTTCTTTCCTTCCCTC